ACGTTGTCCTGGCACAGCCTTTTGAAGCCAACGCCTCCAGCCCGCGGGGGGGTATGACAGCACGCACTACGAGCTAATGTGCGCATGCTGGGAGGCTTGGAGCCAGGGTCTTTTGTGGGAACCCACGCAAGCAACGTGCATGATCTCCACAGGGAGGCCGTTAAGCATGTACATATATATATATATGCATGCAAGTAGCCGCGTGTACTTCTTGCTCAAACTCATCCAGCACAGTAGTCCATGCTTGTGGCATGCGAAGCCGTTTGTTCTGCTTGAGGTAGACGTACACCCCCCATAAGTCCGCATCTGGCCAGAGGTCGTCATAGTCCACGACCCTCAATGATCCAAAAATCTCCCAATCAGCTTCATGAGCAGCAACACCTCGCTTTTGGCGAAGTACTGGATCTGGTTTATCACACACGTGATCGTAGATCTCCAGAAGCTTCCTGCCGAACCCAGCAGGGTAGGACCTCGAAGTTGAGACTATCGTGGAATGGTGCACTAGATATCGAGCATGTCCTGCAGCATGCATGCAGTTAAGCTTCTGTGACCCCTTCAACTCGCGGCGCTTTCCAGTGTATGTCTGCTTTCCATGCTTATTTGTCTTGCGACCTGAACCAGGGCATGATCGATCATGTAAGTATATCACACGTGATGATGTACCAGATGCACTCATGCTCTTCATGTTTGCCGCCAAGCTTCTGACAAGGGACTTGCTGCCAGAAAGTAGTCGGAAAGGTTTCCGTAGAATGCCAGCATCCTGCATGCAATGTGTTGTAAGGCGTGCGATAGCCAGCAAGAGCTAGAAGACGAAGGGGCATGGGCATGCTGAGACTGCATGAAGGCCATGGTCGTGCTTGCAATAACAGACTTAGCTGAGGTCATGGCTAGTAGCTGCAGGAGTCGGGAGCATGATGACCAACATACCGTTCTCTTGGGAGTAGCACTCCCGTGATGCATCATCCAGAATCCAATGCGGAATATCTCAGTGGGCAGAAACCATGCAGCCCAGTGCAAACCTCGAACCACATGCATGCACGGACATCATGCGTGCCAAGGTACAAATGCCACCCGATTGCATAGCCACTCAAAGCGCGGATGCCGTGGAAAAACAGCCCTGGAACCGGACGGCTGTTCGACCAGCACAATGGCATGGACGGCAAGGGAGATCAGGAGCAAAGCCACAACCCTGGTCATGTTCATGGCATGCATGTTGTGATTCAATGCACATGTATGCTGCGTGATATATGTTTTTCAGCTAAAGGGCCGTGATACCATCATCGTGCCATCTCGCACGAAGGCATGTGAAGTGTTTCCGAACATGTTGAGCTCATTGCGGCCATGTGTGGCAGAGGACACTTGCGTCCAGGAAGAACAAACCGGGGCATACACATGCAGAGCTCCTGGGGTGGAGCAGAGGGCAGCAGTGACTGCGCACCTTGCAAGATCGCGACTATATGCGCACACGGCTCGACGCGCCATGTTCCCATGTGCATGCAGTCAAGAAGCGCAAAGCCCGAAGGCTGTAATACATCCATTGATCTCGTGTACTCAACATCGAAGGAGAATACAGCTTTGCCTGACTCCTTAAAGACTCGGGATATCGCAGCTCTTCCAGCAAAGTATTCCACCAGTTGGAATTTTGGAACCAGGTCAACATTGTCTGTGAGAATCAGCAAGACAACCTTAGGACATGTAGTGTGTGGTATGCGAGATTCCAGCATGCGCATGTATCGCAGATCCGTGAGACCAAGACACGATGGCAATCAGGACCTGATCGCAACATGTACATGACATGGGCATTGCATGGTATAAAAGGCATGATCCCTGTGCATGGCAGGCCTTTGGCGCTCGAACTTGTGCAAGCAGGGCGACAATGGACTCTGACCGGTGTGACGGCATGGCTACGCAGCTCGGCACAAGTGTGCAAAATGTAGCCGGTACATGTACATGGGGCATAAATACCCTGAGCCCATATGATTGCATGGCATGCAGAAGTGCACTCAGATGCAGTACATGCACGGAGTTGCAATATATATATATATATAATATATATAAACAGCATGCGTTTAAACACAAAACATGCCAGCTCACCACTTGAGCTTGCCAGTCGGCTAGCCCATTTTTCCGGCATCCCAGGTTCAGGATCCGGCTACGATCGACCTGCAAACCAGACAAAGACACAAGTGTATAGGTGTTATGTGTACGTCTGTATGCAGCAGGCAGTACCGGTCATGATATGCCTTTTGGTCACAGCCCGGAATCAGTCAATGCACACGCTGGGTGGGAATTAGCACCATGTTCAACGCTGCATGGCTCATGCAAGCACATGTACGTACAAGGGCAAAAGCACGTGGTGAAAAACACATGCGGCCCAGGAGTCTAGCAACTTCAAGCAGCTAAAACGCTTGACAACATGTACAATGCAGGTTCAAATCCGCGTGGTTATTGGATGCAAAGCCCCACCAAGGCGGCTAGTCCATAGCTTTGTAAGCCTCAGAAGCACGGAGCACTCATATATGTACGTATATATATATATATATATATATATTAACATGATTTTTGATGCTACGTGAGATGTGTACACACGTGCCATGAACATACAACACATGCACATGACGTATGCATGTTTAATGCTGATAAGACGCAGCACGTGCCTGCTCTTTGCATTGTTCCTCAGGAAATCCCTGCCCTTCGGCCCTGGTGTATGCCTCATGGTAGGCAGTCGACTTGCGGCTTTTTTTCAGTCTTGCTGCCTCCTTGACTGGGTCATCCAAAGGCTGTCCACGGGTTCGACTGGAGGGCTGGGGTGGGGTCCTTGCCGCAGTGGCCTTGGCCTTTGCTTTTGCCTTTGCTTTTGTCTTCGGTGACGCCTTTGGCTTGGCGGTGGCAGTGGACTTGCTGGGCTGGGAGCTGCAATTGCTTGGCTTGGCAGTGGCCTTTCGATTGGTCTTGGGCTTGTCCTTGTTTTGGTCTTTGTTTGCAGGGATCGTGGCATCAGGCTCTTGGGTCTGGGGGTTGTTTCTCCTCTTCTTCGCACACGCCACATCGTGAGGCTCGCCACGTCGTGCTCGCTTGTTCTTGCTTTTCTTGCCTCCCTTGGACAGACGCTTCTTCTTCTGTTGGGTCTTCTTGGTCGGCTTTTTTTCGCTGGCCTTCTTCTTCTTCTTCAATGTCTTCTTCTTCTTCGACTGAACTTCCTCATTGTCGGCTTGACCGTGGCAATCAGCAGCAGGCTTCGGCCCTCGCGAAGGATCCAAGCAGGAACTGAGACCATCCCAGCCCTCTGGCTGCTCAACCTCCACGAACTCATGAGCTTTCTTGCATGCCATGTCGTGCTTAGCCTTGTCCACCCAATCAGCCTTCCGCTCACACTCGGTGGACGGAACACAGGCCGACCCCTTCCGCTGATCCGCAGAGCGCGCTCTCATGCCGGCCAACCATTGCCCAGTCAGGCCCAGGGCCGGACTTTGCACCTTCGTCGCCGGGATGTGCGCAGGGGGCTCGTGAGGACACGGTCCGGAAAGGGCTGCTTGCTCACACAGCCGTGGCATCATGATGCTTGTCCCCCTCCACCAAGGCTTCATCATGATCATCGCCAAGATCTTGCACACAGGGGGGCTTGTCCTTTTCATCCACAGCCGGCGACCCTTCGGCCACAGCATGCCCAAGCATGTCGGCGGAGGGCATGAGGCAAGGGGGGTGCTCCTTCATGCATGCATGCAATCGCAAGCAGACACGTGCTCAACATAATGATTGGAGCTAGCACATGTTCTATATATATATATGTATATGTATATATATATATATATATATATTTATATATATTTGTTAACATGCATATGCAAGCAGACACCATGCTCATGCATGAAAAGCAGCACATGCGTGACATGAGGGCATGCGATGAGGTACATCTTGGACATCCTCCACAGGGTCTGTCTCTATGACCTGCGTCTCCATGGTGTCAGTGCCTAAGCTTGCAAGACACACGTACCCATATACCGACACACGCCCATATGACATGCATTAAGTTTCTTAAGCCACGAAGCCATATTCCCAGTGAGGGCTGGAAGCTGCAGAGGGTTCACTGGCATCCACCATGTCTTCAGACTTGAGATGCTGCAGCTTGCGTAGCTTCTGAAAACCCTGCAGCATGGACAGGAGCTTCTCCAACTTCTGCAGCTTCTGGATCCGCTCAGCCTGCGCAAGGCTTCACTGTAGACATGTACATGCGCCAGGCAGGCAACATGCATTCCGATCCTTGTCACACGGCGTAGCTTCCAAAGGTCGTAGCATGCCTAATTTGGAAGCTCGATCATTCAGACACATGCACCGATGTGCAGATTGCACACACGAAGGCCATGTATATACATGCAAGGTTGCTCGGTGGTGGTGTGAGCACAGGAGAACTGCTTGCGCTCTCAGTGAGCACATGGGAGTCGGGCGAAGGGATCGAAGCAAGGGAAGTGTCTGCACTCACATGGAGAACATCGGCCACAGCAACCTCCGAGGAATTCACTAGAGCACTGGGCCCCGGCATGTCCTTACACATACTTGCAATGCACATGAAACGAGCATGCCAAATATGAAACAGCATGACCAGAATTGCTAGTGAGCTTCAGATACACTAGCAGAAACAATGGGAGTGCAGGAAGCAGGCAGCAGCCCCATGCGCTCTGCCGCCTCAGTAGTACAACGTATATGCGTACATGTACATGGAGGGTGGCTATGTACACATGCAGTAGAGGCACCGAAGGAGCTACATCATCATCGTGATCACATGTGGGATCCAGCTGCGTCTCATTCCCAAGGTCCATGGGGTGCGGGGAAACATCAGGCACTGCCACACCTGCTTGTGCAGCAGCTCTTGTTTTAAACATGCAGATAACTAGATACGAATATGCATTCACATGACTGGGCATGCCTTAAGCATATGATCGACAATATATTATATATATATATATAGTATTAGTTAAGTTTTCTTCTCACCACATGCATGATCATGCCAAGCCTGCACCAAGGGCAACATCTTCAGGAACGACCAAATCATCATCTGTCAAAGCTGCCTCCTCTTCACCCTCGCCTTCAGCATCGGAGTCGGAGTCGCCCGCAGCTGGCTGGCGTTCCCTTCTCTCCTGCTCTGGCACAGAAAACCCAAGAGATATCATGATATCCCGGATGCCAGCATCACGAGGTCTGTGCCCACGACGCAGCATGTCATTGAACACAGTCAACATCCGCTTGACTCCCCAAGCATGTCGATTTACGAACGCACCTGGACATGATATGCACATTGCACAAACATGAGGCATGCCGGCAAAAAAAAAAAACAAAATGCATGCAGTATGCATAAGCCTAGGCACTGGTAATGCCATGGCTGATGTTCAAGAGATCAAAGAAGCTCTTGACATGGACTTCCATGGTGTCAATGCTGATGCGATGTGAGACATGCTTGTATGCCATCTTAAAGATGTGAGGATTCGACATGATAGTCTCTTTGCTCACCCGTTGCCCCGTGAAGATAACCTGGGCAAAGCAATGCTCATGCATGCATGTGCACATGTAGACTTATATACGTGCACACAGGAACTGGATATGCATGCAGGAATCAAAAACCAATCGTTGCGCACGACGACGAACTGCTGGGTCCTGCTCCCATGCTCTGGCCAAATCTGTAGAGGAGATCTCTTCCTCCTCAGGTTCCTGACACGGAACCAGAGCCAATGCCATTGCCATTGCTCGATCGTATATACAAACGTACAGGTAGGCTAGGCTGTGGAAATTCTGTTGGCTTGCAGCTGCCTCTATATACAGGCTACGTGACCCAAATTCGTAAGCCACACCACATGCAACCATGCATGTAGTGTACATATGCACATACGTGCATTCGATCTGTCCATGCATATGCACATGCACACGGACTTGAAGCACATACGTAAGCAACACACAGCACATGTACGAACACAGAAAAGCTCACGCAATTACAGCTGCACAGTTGTTGCTTCCATCTTTGCCTCGACAAAGATCGACATGCAGCACCTGCAGGCAGCCATGCCCATGAATATCTTTACAGCAGATATATGTCCTGAAACGACCCCGCCTTCGGATCAGAAAGGGCAGCTGCACCATGGAGATGCCCATAAAGATGCACAGATACAGCTAGAGAAACAGCCCAAGTAGAACAGCGCATACAGTACACATTGCATTGCATGTTTCATATGAACACCTCCTACCATACTAGTCCTGCTTGAAAAGCACACCATGCACATTGAATCTGCTTGCACCAAAGCACAAAGAAGCAGTTACGCATGCACCGGTTGTGTTGTCTCATGTCCACATGAAGCCATGCACATGATTGACAGCTGTAGAAAAAAATTACTATGCATGATTTCCTGACATGCATGACATGTACACACCAAGTGTCATGCATGAACCGAATGGCTGACAACATGACATGTATATAGCTAACTTGCATGATATAACATGCTACATACACATGCATGAACCAAAATGCCATGGTAAACAACATACATGCTACATACACATGCATGAACCAAAATGCCATGGTAAACAACATGGAAAACATGCATCAAGACAAAGCATGTGAAAGATATGAAAAAACAATTTCCAGTCAAACACGTCAAATTAAACAAATTAAACTTTTTGCGTGTAAACTGCGGGTATTTTAAGTCAACCACAAGTTTCACGGAAAATTCTTCGGAGAACGGTGGTCCAGGTAGTGTTGAGGGTTTGTAGGGTTCAGGATGTTGTTAGGGTGTAGGGTGTCTAATTCGGGTTTTTAGGGTTTAGAGTCTTAGGTTTGGGGTCTGGCCGTGCATGACATACTTGGACACGGAGTAGAAAGTAGCTTCTACGGGCTGAAACGCGCTGCTCTGCGACTGGGTGAGCTTTTCCTCCAGGGGTTGCCGGCGGAGCTTCAGGCCTGCAAGCTCATTTTTCTGCGGGAGGGTGCTTGCGCGCTTCTTCAGCAGTTGGCGCACGACGAGAAATTTTTCAGGGGGGCCCACTTCAGGGCCGCCGCCATGGGCGAAGGCCTCAATGAGATGCTCTAAACCCTAAACCCTACACCCTAAACCCTAAATACCCTACACCCTGAAACCCTAAATACCCCTACGAAAGTATCCGCCCCTGTGCAGGGGGATCTCTTTGCAGAGACCCACTCGCTTCTCGAGCTGACTCCACTGCACCGTTCACGCGCAAAGGAAGGCGACCAATCCTCTCCTTCATTGTCACAATGCACTCTGCTAGACTGCTCTCAGCTTTCACAGCTTTGAAGTCCGATCCAAGGACTGGCGAAAGAACCAGCATGCAGCCGCCAGGGTACGTGCATGATTGGGACCGACCGCCGCTTTTGGCTCAGGGGCAAGGGGGGTTAGGGTTTAGGGTTTAGGGTTCAGGGTTTCGGGTTTAGGGTCTAGGGTTTAGGCTTACAAATTGTCCACTGAGGCTGCTCCGTCTTGCTAGAGTTCCTTCATGACGTACAACAGCAAGCCTAGCTCAGTCGGAGTGCAAGGTCTCGGCGGCTAGAAGGTCTGCAAGAGAGCTGCGGAAACCCTAAACCCTAAACCCTAAACCCATCTCCCTAAACCCATCTAAACCCTGAACCCTTCAGAAGCACAGCTGGGCTCGCTCTTAAGTGGCTTCAGGGTTCAGGGTCAACGGCCCAGGGTGTTTATAAACTGGGCATGTGGTTGCACTACGCGGAGCCTCCTAGATAATCATGGGTTCCCCTACTACCCCCCTCCATATTTTCCGCCCCTCCTAGGTTCCCCAAACCCTAAACCCTAAACCCTAAACCCTAAACCCTAAACCCTAAACCTAAACCCTAATTCTCCCTAAATAGCCTCATTGTGGGGGGAACCTGGGGGGTTAGCACCCTTCGCCCCTTTCAACCCCTTGAAGCCCAAACGCCCCAAACCACAATGCAGGACCTCGGACTTGGGTTTAGGGTTTAGGGTTTAGGGTTTAGGGTTTAGGGTTTAGGGTTTAGGGTTTAGGGTTTAGGGTTTAGGGTTTAGGGTTTAGGGTTTCAGGGTTTAGGGTTCAGGGTTCAGGGTTCAGGGTTTAGGGTTTAGGGTTTAGGGCTTAGGATCGTATACGCAATGCTTCCCTGATCCCAATCTTCAAGCATGTCGTCAAAACCCTCGGAAGCAGGCCCAAAACCCCACAACCCGAAAACCCCGAACAAAACCCTAAACCCTAAACCCCAAACCCGAAACCCGAAACCCTAAACCCTAAACCCTAAACCGTGAACCCTAAACCCTAAACCCTAAACCCTAAACCCTAAACCCCAAACCCTAAACCCTAAACCCTAAACCCTAAACCCTAAACCCTAAACCCTAAACCCTAAACCCTAAACCCTTCCCTGAGTTGTGGGGGACCCAACTCCTCTGCCGACGCCGGAACGGGAGATCGAGCTGCCTCCTCCTCAAGGGAGTGCTTAGGGTTCAGACCAATGGGCTTAGGGATGCTTAGGGTTTAGGGTTTAGGGTTTAGGGTTTAGGGTTCAGGGTGCAGGGTGCAGGGTGCGAAGCTTTTAGGGGGTATTCAGCAAGGTAGCTTCTTGAACTGGGTGCCGCTGGGTTTGGTTAAGCCAAAAACCCCTCAACTTAGGCCCTCAACTGGTCCTGCTGCTTGTGCAGGATGGACTGGATCTCCTTCAGGTGTGCCTGGCGCGTCAAGGTTTAGGGTTTACGGTTGAGCATCTCAAGCGTGAGTCTGGAGATTTGTTGGTGCATGCTGCTTTTCACCTAGTCTCCAACACTTGCATGTTCTGTTTGTACGTCCTCCTGCTTCCAGAGGCCCTCTCCCTTCCATCACTGGTGCACTTGACAAATGTTCAGAGCAAACTCTTACCTGGTCCGCCTCAAACACCCGCCTAGGTTGGCCCATTAAACCCTCTGAAATTATTCCTGGATGTGACCCTCTTAAACCCAAAAAGTGATATTACAAACCCCAACAACAAATTCCCTCAAAAAAGCCCTGAGCAACAGGGAAGGCTGATGACGAAGAGGGTCGGTGGTCCAGTTGAGGCACTCAACCGATTGCAAGGCAAACGTTCCCCTCCGCGGGCTGCCCCTGAACCCAACAAAAAAACCCTAACTAAACCCTGAGGTCCTATACTCTCAACCCTAAATACTACCATTTTTCAGTGCGAGATAGGCCATTGGACCCACTTCGATTTGCAACGCATGCCTGAATGTGTACTCGACTTGCTGGAAGTCGCTCGCTCACATCCCCCAAGGGCCCATGTACCTATGTACCTCATTGTTATATACTTGGGCCCCAAAGCCCCTATATATGAAGTACTCTAAGGCCCAAGTATTCCCCCTATTTAGGTACATGGGCCCTCAGGGATAAAACAACCCGACCCTTAACCCTAGACTTAGGATGTTCCCCCTTATACTAACAGTCCTTAATTGGGATTATAAAAAAGGGCGTACTATAAACCCTATTAAGGACTGCGAGTACAAGGGGGAACATCCCAAGCCTATAGACCCTGAATCCTAAACCTGGAACCCTGCACCCTGCACCCAACAAGACACCCTTGCACCTCTGAATTGCGCCCCATTTGAGGCTCATACTACTGTAGATCTTCGTTTGTGCTTCCGGTCTTTGTTTTTTTGTCAGAAAGTGCAGATAATCTGTGACTACGGTGGCCCTTAAGCCCTCTGAACATAGATATTCCTACATATGATCCTCCTAAACCCAGTAAGGGAAATTTACATAAAATATCCCCAGGGCCTACCTAGGTGAAGTCCAGGAGAAACTTGCACTCTGGCATTACCCGACGGCCCGAAGCTAACCTGAAATCTGCCCCTAAACCCTAAACCCTAAACCCTAAACCCTAAACCCTAAACCCTAAACCCTAAACCCTAAACCCTAAACCCTAAACCCTAAACCCTAAACCCTAAACCCTAAACCCTAAACCCTAAACCCTAAACCGAACCCTAAACCCTAAACCCTTCTTCACCGCCTC